TGTGGAATCAATTGGTGGAAAGGTGTCTAAAGTCCAAACAAATCATAACCTGTTCTCTCCCCTTCAAAAACTGTTGTTTATCTTTGTGCATTTAGCCATTGTTCCAAGAACTCATCACAGGCATGAGGCTAACCACCTTGATGCTATGCTGATGTACTGCCTTGAAAAAAAAATACAAATCAATTTCCCTTCCATCATGATAAAACACCTCACCCACTGTCTTGCAAACCATTTGAAGGTTGGATATGCAAATCAGATCATTACTCTCATTGAGAGTTTTGGTATTTCTGTGGAGAACTGTGAACATCTCAAACTACAAACCAATCATTTTGTTCAACCTAAAACCCTGGAAAGCATAAACCTGCATGTAGTTGATGGTGTTACCCAATTCCTTCCTAAACAAACTCCTAAGGCTAAGGAAGGAGTTAAGATTCTGACTGAGGAAGAGGAGTTGGACAAATGGCTGGAAGAAGAGGAAAGTGAGGGAGAGGAAGAAAAGAAGGAAAAAGAAGAAAGTTCTGAAAAGAAGGGCAGAAAAAGTAATGCTTCTGGTGCTAGGAAAAGGAAGAGCATTAGGTTGGCTTTTAAGCCAAAGGCGAAAGCTGAGGCTCCATCTGCTTTTGTGGATCTCAGTGAGGAGAAAGCCTTTGTTCAGGGGGTATTTGTGCAAGAAACTGTCACTCATTCTACTCCAGCAGGTGCAGGTACATGACTTGCTGCCTTTAGTTCTGTGAGTTCCACCTTGGAACTGAAGGCACTCAAAGATGCTGTCAAGCTGCTGTCTCAACCAACTCTGCTCCTGAGGATTGGAGCTCTTGAGAAACTAGTAGGAGACCTGGTGCATGCTTCTAAGGAACTCACCTCAGCAATGAAGGACAGCACTTCAACTCTCTCTCAAGGCCAGGCTGAGTTGTTGAAGAAGCTGGAAGAGATTGTTGTTGAAGAAGAAGTTGCTGAGGAAACAGAAGAAGAGCACAAGACCCCAGTCCCTACACCCTAATCCTATTTTCTGTCTATCTCATCTATCAAACTATCTTTTGATCTTGGTCTGTATTAAACTTGGTTTATTTTGCTTCTTTTGGTCTATAAACAATTAAACAGGGTATTTTCTTTTGTTTTTGATGTTCTGGAGGAACATCAGTTTGTTTATATGGATGTTGCTTGCTTGCTTTATGACTATTTGCATACTATTTCTGCCTATATGTGCTTTGTTCTATGCTTTGAACACAAACCAATAAAATGGTGCTGTGTTTCGATATGTATATTTGTGTGCATTAATTTTGATGAACGCCAAAAGGGGGAAAAGAAGGCAAACTCAATTGTTGACAAGCTCTCCATCCGTTTATAATAGAACGTATAACTATAACTTTAATTCAGTTCCTTGTTTAAATTTAGCTATGATTAAATTTAGCTAATTCATTTTTGTTTTACGTTTTTCGTTTTCTGATTGTCTTTTAAAATTTTTATTTTGTGAGTTTGCTTAGGTTTGTCATTCATCAAAAAGGGGGAATATTGTTGATCTTAAGTTTTTATGATGACTCAAGGAACCTAAGCAAACCCATAAGGGCTTTAACTTTTGTCTATTAGCTTTGATGTACTTGACGGGTTCTTATATGCAACGAAGTTCTAGAGTTAGAACGGAGCATGGAACAAGGTCTAAGGATGAGCCGTGGATGAGCATAGAGGACAATCAGAAGCCAAGTTCCTTGAGTGAGGAACTGAAGCTTCAGAGTCGAAGCTTCACTATGTTCCAAGGAGTCTATTGTATCTTTATTATTTATTTTAGGCTTCTTGTATATAAAGATTTTATTTTCCCTTCTTTAACAAGATTTAATTTTATTTCGGAAAATTATCTATTAAGTAAAAATATCTTATTTATTAAAAGATTTTCTGTTCTGATTTTATCCTAACATTTTGGAAAATCTGACTTGGTAAAAATATTTTTAAAACGACTTTTACTTGGTAAAGGAGGTTGAGAAAATAATTTATTGTGTGCTTCAGCTTGCTGCCCAAGCATCCACGAACTGCACTTCCTTATTTCATGGAAGTTGTGGTTTAGTGGGAGTTAAGGCAAACGTAAGGTTTTCAACTGCTTTCCTCATGTATAAATAGGATTAGTTTTCTGTTTTGAAAAACACACTTGAGCATTACGATTCTTAGCTTTTCTAAAAGAGTCAAAAATCCACTTAAGTCCTTGAGTTTCTTTGTACTTAGCATCTTAGAAGTTTTATCTTGAGTTGTATTGGGGTAGAGTTTGGGTAAACTCTAGAGTGTGTAATTGCTTTGAGTAAAGCAAGGAGAAAAAGAGAGATTCGAGAGCTCAACTGATTGAGGGATCAGTAGAGGGGGAACTTAAGTTCGTAGAGGAACTTGAGTTAAGAAGTCTTAATTTGTAATAGGTTGTTTGCCCTATTATTATTAAGAGTTGTGATTAAAATCCCTTGTGGTCGTGGTTTTTCTTCTTGATTAGGGCCAAGAAGTTTTCCATGTAAAATCTCTC